CCCCTCAGGCCTTGAATAGAGGGCTGAGTAGCATGGAATTTATATTGTTAGCTTTAGGACTCTTTCTGTGAGAGTTTCCGAAGCAGGAGAGTATGGGACATGGTCAGAAATGTGCTTCAGGCGGAGCACGGTGTCTCACATCTATAATCCCAGCACTTTGGGAAGCTGAGGTGGGCAGATCACTTGAGGTCAGGAGTTCAAGACCAGCCTGGCCAATGTGGCAAAACCCCACCTCTACTAAAAAAAAAAAAAAAAAAAAATTAACCAGGTATGGTGGTGGCGCACACCTGTAGTCCCAGCTATTCAGGAGGCTGAGAGAGGAGAATCGCTTGAGGCTGGGAGTTGGAGGTTGCAGTGAGCTAAGATCATGCCACTCACTCCAGCCTGGGTGACAGCATGATTCTGCGAAAGAAAGAGGGAGAGAGAGGGAAAGAGAAATAAAGAAAAGAAAGAGAAAAAATGTGCATCAGAAAGTTTCTCCTAGTCACATGGAAGGCATGAGGCAGAGCCTCCCACGAGGCAGGGAGCAAAGGTTGGATGGTTCCATGTTTTGGGGTGGCAGGGGGTGGGAAGAGAGGACAGCTCCCCTCCACTCAGGTGAAGATCTGAGCTAAGGCAGTTTGGTCCAGAGGGAGAGGAGAACCCAGCTTCTGTGGGTGTGAGGAGGCCAATCAACAAAACTTTTTTCTTTCATTCAAAGAGTGTGCTGAGCACCTACTGTGTGCCAGGCACTGTTGTCTGCCTGTGGTAGAGCAGTGAACAAAACAGAAACCTGTCTTCATGGAGCTGACATTCTAATGGGTGGAGAGAGACAATAAATGATATAAGCAAAATATGTAGCACCCCAGAGAATGAGAAATGTTATAGGAAAAAAACAGGAGTGGGGTTTTGGGGGGAGGCTATTATAAATTGGGTGGTCTGGGAAGGTCTCAGTGAGAGAAAGCATTTAAGCAAAGACTTGAAGGAAGTGAGGGAGAGAACCATGCAGAAATCTGCAGAAAGAGCCTTTCAGAAAAAGGGCAGAGGCAGTGCAAAGGCAGGGGCAGTACAAAGGCTGTGCAGTGCAGGCTGGCTTGTGTGAGGATAAGCCAGGTGGCCAGCGTGGCTGGAGTGGAGGGACAAGAGTCGTGCTCAGAGAGGCAAGGGAGCACAGGCTGACTCTGCAAGGCCACTGGGAGAACTTTGGCTCTTAATCTGTGTGAGATGGAAGTCACTGGAGGGCTCTGAGCGAGAGAGTGATACAAACTGACATGTTTGATCAGGACCACTCTGGCTGCTGTGTTGCAAATAGACCGTAGATGGGAATGGGAGGTGGAAGGAAGACCAGCTAGGAGGCTTTTTGTGATAATCCAGGCCAAGAGGTGATGACGGCTTAGACCAGAGAGGCTGTGAGCCGTTCTCCCTCTCACTCCCCTCCTTGCCCTCCGTCCTTTCCCCTCCTTTTCTTTCCTCTCCTCTCCTTTCCTCTCCACTCCTCCCTTTCTCTCCATATGTACGCATGTATAGGAGTATACGTATACATTCAAACACCAAACAACTTATTGTGGAAAATCTCAAAGAGATTCAAAATTAGAACAGCGCAGTGTACTCTAGCATGCACTCAAGAACTCATCATGCAGCCTCAGCCACGACCCAGTCACGGCCAGTTTAGTTTCATGTCTAGCCCCATCCATGCCCTACCCCTATTGCCCTGGATTATATGGAACCTAGTCTAAAACATCATATCCCTTCACCGTAAATATTTCAGTATGTCTAGCTAGCTTTTGAAAGTAGAGCTAACGGGATTGTGAATGAATCTGTTTGTAGGATGGTAGGGGAAGCAGTCAAGAATGACTCCAGGGGTTCAGCTGAGCAACTAGAAGGATGGAGCTGCTGTTCACCAGGACTGGGAGGAGGAGCGCCAGGGCGGGAGAGATGAGGAGGTTGCAGCGCATGTAGGGTGAAGACCCCTGGTGGACATTCAAAGTGGAAGTGTCACTAGACAGTTGGACACATGAATTACCAACTGGGTCTGGGGCTGAGAGAGAAGGGTGGCTTAGGGCTGTCTGACTTGGGTGGACAAGGGGGCTTTTCACTGAGTCAAGGAAGAGTGGAGAAGTTGGTTTGAAGCTACAGGATAGGTTCATTTTGATGAGTTGAGCTTGAGATGCCTTGGGGCCTTTGACATGGTCACTTCCCTGGCAGGTGCCTGCGTGCCCACACTTGGAATTCAGGGGAGGGGGTCAAGGCTGGAAATAGAAATAAGTGGTAGTTAAGCCAGGAGAGCAACTGGGGTGGCTTAGGGGTTGTCTGAAGACGGGAAAGAGGAGCAGGAAAGGCAGGGTGGGCATGAGTGATGGAACAGGATCCCTGAGATCATGTTGGGTGGAGTGGGGAAGAAAGGTCTTGACCCATCTCGAAGCCTGGAAAGACCCTTTCTGTTTGGAGACCCCAGTGCCAAGCTCAGGACTGGTACAGCATGAGGGCTTCATCCTGAGGTGCAGCACATGAAAAGTGGTGCCATGGGCAATAAGGATTTTTGTGCTTGACGCTTTGGGTTTGCCTACTCTTCCTCCGTGTCCTCATGCTAGACCTAGGCCTGGCCACAGACCCAGGACAGGAGAGAGGTTTCAGGGGCCTATGGGGCTTTCCTTCCTGTCACTGCTACTGGATTCTGGGGTGGTGAGGGGGTTTGCTCCACTCCAACTGCACATCCTTTAGATGCTCAGCAGTGCTATCTCTGAGTGAGACCCTGTGCGTGGCATAGCCAGCCAGTGTCCCCAGTAGGGCCAGTCTCTAGAGCCAGACTAGCCAGGCCCAAATCCCTGAACATTGCTAGCTGGCAGCTTTAGTCAAGTGACTTAACCTCTTTGAGTTTTAGTTTGCTCAGCTGTAAAGTGTGCATAGGAACTGTCCTAACCCCACTGGGTTGCTTGGCTTGAGAGATGATGTGTGTACATTACCTGGTACGTAGTAAGTGCTTCTTAAATCGTAGTCATTATTTCCATCGTCTCTCCAGCCTCATCCCCAACTCTTCTCTCCACAAAGCTACCCTCCACCTGCCCCAGGAGGTACCACCCTTGCTTCCCCACTTGCTAGCATTGCATGTACCTGTTTTGCCCACCTCATCACTTACAACTCCTACCCAGACCTTAAAACCCAGCTTTGGTGTTTCCTCCTCTGATGTATCCAGACAGGGCTGCCCGGTCCTCTGTGTCTACGTGAGGGTTCATCACAGGGCGCTGTATTTAAGTGCTGGCATGTCTGCTTCACTGGCACACCCGCCCACTCCCACCTGAGACAGGGAGACACCCTGTTTTTCATCTGTCTGTACTCCCAGCACTTGGGAACATTGGTTGAATGCCTGGGGTGTGGGGGCAGGTGGCCCCTTGAGGTGGGCCTCTGGGCTTGCGGTCACCTCTCATGTGTCTGGTCTCTGCCCCCATCCCCCGGTTCGCAGACCTGGACTTGGCTGTGCCAGAGACCGCCAGACTGGACAGCAGTTTACACAAGGCCCGGGCCCAGCTGTTGGCCAAGGGCCGGAGACACCGGCCGTCCCGCTCCAGGCTTCGGGACAGTGCCAGCTCCGCGGAGGATGGTGAAGGCTCCGATGGGCCTGGAGGCAAGGTTGGGGCAAGTTAGGAAAATACACCTACACCCTCGCGCTCCTCCCACTCCTCTGGCTGCTGGATAATCTCTCAAGCGCTGTTCCAGGGAAACCACACCCTCAGACTTCTGACCTAGTCATGTTAAGTGTTAGCTGCAGTTCGCTTCTGGCTAATTGAATCCTTTGTAAAGAAGATATTAGCCCCATCTTACAGCTGAGGAAACTGAGGCCCTGAGAGGTCCTGTAGCAAAGTCACAGTACATGGTGGAGGGGGAATTCAGCCCCAGCCGTGTGACTCAGAGTTCCTGTTTCCCACCTCTCACTGTCCAGCCACCCCGCTGCCTAAGGCTTGAGGAAACCCTCCCTCTAGGCCCCGGAAGGACCCTCGGGGGCCCTCAGTTTTTGGGGTGAAAGTCTCCCAGCTCTTCCGGGAAGGGTGGAGGAGGGTTCTCGGGTGAGCGGCTGCCGTCTCCTGCAGGTGACCGACGGCTGCGGGAGCCCCCTGCACCGGCTGCGCTCGCCTTTGCACGCAGGCCCGGGGTCCCCGGCCGGGGGCTCTTTCTGCCTGGATCCTCCCGGGCTGCGGCGCAGCCTGGACGAGGACGAGCCGCCGCCCTCGCCGCTCACGCGCTACCGGCCCCTGCACAACGCTGCCTCGCACGAAGGCCTGGCTGCCGCCTCCTGCTCGCCGCCGCGCTCCGCGCCGTCCTCCGACAGCTCCCCCAGCTTCGTGCGCCGCCACCCGCGCCGCGCAGAGCCGCACAGCGAAGGTGAGTTACAGCCGGCGCCGCACCCTCTGCTGGTCGTTCCCGGGCGCAGCGGCCCTCCCGGTCCCAGCGCGCAACGAAGCCGCGTGGAGCAGCTGGGCAGGGTGGCTGGGGGAGGTGGAGAGTAAACCTCGCGGCTCAAGTCATTCTTTACCCAGCGCCCACTAAGTGCCAGACCCTGTGGGCTCTGAGACACCCAGGTGAGCAAACATATGCAGTCTTTATCATCACAGTTTAGGGGAGAAACCGTCAAATCAGGCCTGGCTCTGCAGCTCACGCCTGTAATCCCAGCACCTTGGGAGGCCTAGGTGGGAGGATAGCTTGAGCCCAGGAGTTCTGAGCTCCAGTGAGCTATGATCACTCCTTGCCTCAGAAACAAAACAAAACCCCAATCAAATCATCCTTTAATTGAATGTGTAGTTTCAGACTGTAATAAGTGCTATCTGGGAAGTGTGCAGCGGCGTCGCGGGAGGGCATACACCAGGATGCCTGGCCTGGCTGAGAACATCCTGGAAATGACATTTGAGCCAAGATTGGAAGGCTGGCTAGAAGTTGGCTAGGATCAAATTGAGTAAATAGTAGTGGTCCCTACCTATTTGAAACATTTTACAGTTTGTAAAAGACTGTCGTAAGCATCCCATTAGGTGCCGTTAAGCAGGCAGATGTTATTATCCCATATTTAAAATGGAGGAAGCCCAGAGAGGTAAAGTGTCCTGTCCTAGGACACCCTCTATTTAAGGGCACCAGAGCCACGCTGCCTGATTCTAAGTCAAGAGAATTTCCACCACCCCACACCGGCAGCCAAAGGAGGCAGGCCGGCCACCAAACGGGCAATTTTCTACCTTCTCTCCCTGGATAGATGACAGCCGTGATGCCAGTCCTCCTGAGCCTGCCAGCCCCACCATCGGCCTGGATAAGAAGACTCGGCGAAAGTTCCTGGACCTGGGGTGAGTGGAGGCGGGGCTAGATCACAGGGCTTGGAGCTGCTGTGTTAAGGGTGGCACAGTGGGCAGCCCTGCCCCACTCCTCGCTGCCTCCCCACAGGGTCACCCTGCGCCGAGCATCCACAGGCAAGAGCCGGAAGGAGAAAGGCAGCAACCGCCTGTCCATGGGCAGCAGGTGAGAGGTGCCCACGGTGGCCCACCCACAGCTCCCACCCCTGGCTCCCCGTGTGTCCCAGTCCTCCCCTCTGTACCCACACCCATGCTGGACACTCTCTCTGCAGGGAATCAGTGGAGGGCTCCAGCAGGTCAGGGGGCTCCCCGTTCCTGCCTTTTTCCTGGTTCACAGACAGTGGCAAGGGGTCAGCATCCTCGGGTAGCACCACCTCCCCTGCCTGCTCCCCTAAACACGAGGGCTTCAGCCCTAAGAAGTCAGCTTCCCAGGTAAGTCCATGCCTTTTTTGTCCCCAAACTGACCCCCAGTCTTAGGTGACATGAGGGAGTACTTCACCCTGGCTCAGGCTGGGATTCAGACATTCCTGGAATCAATTTGTCCATCCATGGAGCCACGCGGTGATCCATTACTTCATGCATTCTCTGAATTCATTCATTCACTCATCCACTACTTCATATTCTGAGTAGTTCATTCCTTGATGCAGTCACTGCTTCACGCATTCAACAAATCACTGAACACATGAATCCCTACTGTTTACCCAGCCGGAGACTTCCTTCATTCCTGCTAACTATTCTGCCTGGCTCAGCTCTAAGCCCACTCCTGTGTGAGGAGCTGGGCCACCTGCTTGGTAGGGTGAGGCTTGGGGGATATAGAGACGAACAGGACCCCAACCTAGTGCTCCAAAAGCTTACAACCGTGTGACGTGAGAACAAGTAAGAGAAGCAATCATGAGCATCTGTGTATGTTCAGAGAGCCCTCTGCAGTTTACAAAGCCCCAAACACATTCTGCTTTACTCTCACAGAGGCTCAGTGAAGTAGGGAGGAAAGGCACACTCATCAACATTGCACAGATGAGCAAAGGACAGCCCAGAGAGAAGGGGCTTGTCCACAGACTGGCACAGATTTAGGTGCCAAGCTCTATGACCCCCAGCCTAGTGCTTGTTCTATGGTTCCGTTTCTTACGTGCAGCCGGGCAGAGGAGAAAATCAGAAGCTGGAAACTCGAGAGAGAAAGAATCCCTTTGGACCTGGAACTTCCTTCTTTCTTCCCTCCCTTCCTTCCTTCCCTTATGCTGGGCACTGGGGACACCATGGTGAACAAGATACACCCCAGGGCCTCCTAAAACTCACAGTCCAATGAGGATAAAGACCTCTAATCAAGCACTTATTAGCTGGAGTGCTAGAGGCCAGGCAGGAGACACATAGCAGAGATGCCTGATCCAACCTGGGGGAATCCTCGTGGGCTGCCTGTAGGAAGTGACACCTTGCCTGAGACCTCCTCCATTCCTACTAACCTGGCTTGGTTCGAGCCCCATGTCCTCCAGATGGCTGCCTGCCTTCCCAGAGGCTTCAGGTTCTAATGCCTGACATGAGTTACCATGTCCTGTGTGCAGGCCCAGCTCCTGGCCCATGCACAAAGGGCACAGAGCAACTCCTGGTGCCCAGTCCAGGACTTCAGCTCCACCCAGATAGGTATGGTGGGTTGGGGGTGAGCTCTGTCCTCAGTGGCATACACTTGCTTCTGTCTAGGAATCAACCCTGAGTGATGACTCCACACCCCCCAGCAGCAGCCCCAAGATACCGAGTGGGCCCCGGCAGGAAGCCAAATGTTCTTATCCTTACCACACGCTGTCTCAGTCTTCGGATGAGGTGAGCAAGGCTGGCCCAGGGCGCCCATGGAGTCCTGACCTCTGACTCTGCAAAGTGCTCAGGTCACAGGCCAAGCCTCCCCCTCACTCCTTGGTCTCTGCCCAGTTCCTGGATGAGCCCCTTCCCCCCGTCCACCATTGGACCAGCCAGCAGGTGGGCCAGTGGCTGCAGAGCCTCAACCTGGAGCAGTATGCCACCGAGTTTGCTGCCCGGCAGGTAGACGGGCCGCAGCTACTGCAGCTGGACGGAAGCAAACTGAAGGTGGGTCAGAGTGGAAGGGCCATGACCCAGCCCAGTTAGTTACTTGAGGCAATGTTCAAGTATTGGAAGCCCCTCCTTCTGACCTTTGACCCTCAGCCCAGCCTCCTAGGCTGGCCTTTTCACTCCATCTGTGGCCACTACCCTGACCTCTGACCTCTAGGCAAGGTCCTTGGTCTAACCTTTGTGTTGTAGTTTGACTTGAAACTCAAGCCCATGACTTGAGTGTGACCTTCAAGCTCCAGCCCTGGTCTCCAGGCTGACCTTGCCCTCTAGGATGACCTTTGATGCACATGACTTCCTTAGTATCATGGGAAGCCATGCGTCTCCCCCTGGTCAGCTTGGCGTGATTCTGTCTCAGAGGCTAGAGGTAGTGGTAGGCAGGGGGAGGAAGCTGGAAGGGGGTGGGTGGCCTCTGACCTCTATGCTGGGAGGTTCCTGGCCTGTCTCCTGCTCTCTGTTGAGTTGCTTGGGGCAGGGATGGTGAGAAAAGTCCCCAGAAAGTCTCTGGAAGTGAGGAGGGTCTTTGGCCACTGACTAGCTGTGTGACCTTGGGCAAGTGACTTTCCATCTCTGGGTCTCAGGAGGTTGGGCAGGGCCAGGCCAAGGCTGAAATCCTGAGTGGAAGAATGGTGGGGGGAGGGCAAAGCACCTGATACCCTCAACCCTCATCTCTCCCAACCACACTCGTTCCAAATTCTTGCTCTGGGGGTTCCGATCCATGGGCAGGTCACGGTGTGGGGAGAGGAGGCTCCTCTTCAGGGAGGATTCAGAGCTCCACAGAGTGTACCTGGGGCAAAAGGACCCTGGGTGTGGGGCCAGGACCGGGATGGTTCCGGGGCTCTCTCCCTCACCCCGGACTCCTCTCCAGAGCCTGGGGCTCAGCAACTCTCATGACCGGGCGCTGGTGAAGCGGAAGTTGAAGGAGCTGGCAGCAGCTGCGGAGAAGGAGCGCAAGGCCCAGGAGAAGGCTGCGCGGCAGCGGGAGAAGCTCCGGCGCAGAGAGCAGGAGGCCAAAAAGAGCTAGGGGAGCGTGCACAGGGCTGGTGCCTGGCAGGGGCGGCCGCTGGCTCGGCGGGCACAGGCCTTACCAGGGAGGCTGGGCCTGGGCGCCGCGCTTGGGCTAGCCTAGTCCCACGCTCTTGGGGGGACACACCCTCTCTCACCTTGTCACTTGGTCTGGACCCAGAGCCCCCAGAAAGGGAGACCCCAGGGAGAGGGGCTAGTAATAAATCCCATTTTGAGGACTTGTTTGGCACAGAGTTCCTGGGGGAGGAGCAGATGAAGGGGAGAGGGCAGAGAGGCCAGGGCTGAGGCAAGTCTGGGAGCCTGGATCAGGCTGTCCCACTGCCCTCAGGCCATCGTGGGGCAGGGGTGGAGGGGAGCTAGGAGGCCGGCCTGCCTGCTTCCCTGCCAGACGCCCAGAGACGATGGGCGGGCCCCAAGGCCCAGAGCTAGGCCGGGCGTTTCGGCAGGAGCAGGAGTTGGGGCTGCTCCTCTCCACTCTTCCAGGCAGCTGTGTGGTGGGAGAGCTCAGTCCTGCTCCCCAGAGAGGCCAGTGGGCGCTGCAGCAAGTCGCACTCAGGGTAGATCCTCAGCCAAACTCCAACAGGAGAGCAGAGAAAGCGGCCTGTGATCAGTGCAGTCTTTGCCAGGACTCGAGAAGGGAGGATGCACACCCCCTTCTCCCTCTCCCCTCCTCTGTCCTGTGGGTTCCAGGGGGTGAGATGACCCCACAGACCACACAGATCTGCCTCTTGGGGTCTACTCAAGACCCGGTCTTTGACCCAGCCAGGACCCCCTTAGCTTCCTGCTGCTTCCTCAGAGGGCACCTGAGCCCTCTTTGGGAGCTGAGCAAACAGGAGCTGATGGGGACAGAGGATACCACTCCCACCAGCCAAGGCCTAGGAGCTACCAACCTGGTCAACCCTCACCCCAGCCAGGCAGAGAGGCAAAACCTGGGGGTCCCTGGCAGCTGCCAGGTTGGAAAGGTTCATTAGCCCTCCCCTATCTGCCCCCCACATTGTCAGGGAATCAGTGGGCTCAGAACCAGCAAGCGGTGCAAGCTCTGCTTCGCTGGGCCACACCGAGGGCTGGGAGCAGCTCCCTGGATGGGGGTGGAGTCTGCCAGCAGCCTGGTGACAGCATGTGTCCTTTTTAGGAAATGTCCTTGGAGGAAGTGTCCATGTGTGGCGCTGGTCAGCAGCTAGCCCTGCTTCCAGGACACTGGTCAAAGTTACCAATGGGGCCAGGGGCTCCTGGTTAGAACCCCCTCCAACTCCTCCCATCTGCCTGGAGTGGCAGATGGCACCAATGCATGCTGGCTCCCTCATTCCTGCCAGGGGCCAAGGCTGACGGCCAGCACCCTGTACCTGGGACTCTGCCCCAATTCCCCCTCTGCGATCTGTGCTGGGAGAGGGGCTTCAGAGGGAAACAGATAAAGGACACTGGCACCATCTGGGCCTGGTGGCGGGGCCATGGGAGGTTGGGAGGCACCCACGTCCTTAAAGCCATCAGTAGCTATAGTGGGTGCCCACCTGCATGTGAAGGGGAGGCAGTTCTCAATTTATTTCAATAAATACGATGTGCCAGTGACCAGAATTTCTATCTGCTCCAGTTGTTGGGTTGGTCTGACTGTGCTAGTCCCTGAGTGTGGTGAGACAACAGGTCTGTCACCAGGTGCTAGACCATCCAGAGCTCTGAACGGATGGCTTTGCCCAGTGTTTACTCACAGTCCTGAGCTGGGTCGGACATCCCAAGTGCATCGTGTGGTGGTCACAGGGCACTGCAGTGCGTGTGTGTGTGTGCGCAAGTGTGGGGCCCTCTCCCCCAGGGATGCAGCCAGGCCAGCCTCAGTCAGTTTCTTCTTTACTGGGGGTGTGGGTGTCACTGCCACAGCCACTGGGAGGGACACAACACACAGCTTTAACCCCCGTGTGCTAAGGGGAAGGGTGGGGGCATTCAGGGTTATAAAACTAGCTATATACACAGAGGTCCTAGGGCGAAAGCCACCCTGAGCACACGTGTCTGGGCACAGTGGGGGCTGCGGGCTGGGGCTCAGGTGGGACTGGGTTTGTGGAGGGTGGGTGGGCAGGAGCATGTGAGGACATGCTGGGAGGGCTCGGGAACTGGCACAAACATTGCCAAGGCCGCTGCAGGGCCTCAAGCAGCTTCTGGGTGGCAACCTCTGGGTCTCACAAGGTTCCTCCACTTTAGGGGTGGACCCTGTTAGAACCACCCCTCCCCCACCAACCTTGACCTTAAAGA